GCGAAGGACCATCTAGTGCAGTGGTCTCCAAACTTTGGTCCTCCAGATGTTTTGGACCTCAGCTCCCAGATGTCTGAGTCAGCTTGGGCAGCAATCAGGAATTATGGGAACTGCAGTCCAAAACATCTGGAGGACCAAAGTTTGGGAACCACTGCTCTAGTCCACTGTCAGTGCAGAAGATCAACAGGTGAAGCAGCTCTGAAAGGTGACCATCCAAGCTCTGCCTAAGAAACTTCCAGGAAAGGCGAGCCCACCAGCTTCTCATGCTCTTCCTAATGTTTAGTTGGAAATCTCCTTCCTTGTAATTTGAATCCAGGGTTTGGGGTCCCATTCTCTGAAGCAGGAGGAACCAGGCTCTCTCCATCTTCCCCATGACAGCCGTGGGCTTCTCCTTTTCCAAAGTTTGGAAATCTGAACTAGGAAAGGCAACATCAAAGTCTGCACCCACCTAGGCCTGGGTGGTCTACAGCAGACCGACCGACCGACCTCCCACTGTCGCAGTGCAATTTTATTTTATATTTTAACTAAATGGCCTGCTTTCTGCCTTCTCCAACCCTACACTCCTTTGGTCAAGAAAGAAGAAAAGACTCCAAGCTTCAGGAGAACCACCTTTAAATATCTGAAGGGCTGTCAGGGAAGGGAATGGAGCCAAGCAGCATATCACCCCATAATGGAGCCAAATTGGGGAAAAAAGAAGATCCCACCAAAATATGAACTTTTTTGATGGCAAGAGCTGTCCTAGAGTGGAACCGACCTCCTCAGAAGATGGGGACTCCCCTTCATTGGAGGTTTTGAAGCAGACATTGAATGGACATTGCTTTTGAGTTTTGAGGACTGGTACCTGAATAGGATTCCTTCCACCTTGAGCATTTATTTTATGAGCTTTCATGGACTTCAGTCCATGTTGGTGCACAGATGGAGAGAGAGAAAGAGAGTGTGTGTGTCTTCAAGTCACCTGTCAACTTAAGGTGATCCCACTAATTTCATAGTTTTTTTCCTTAGGCAAGAGGGTAAAGGTATTTAAAAACAGTTACAAGCCAGAGTCACTGGTAAGACAACATTTCACAAAGAGCTCCTGCACTGAAGCCAGGAAGAAGAAGAAGAAGAAGAAAGGTAGAAGTGCTTGCACCAGAAAGCCAGAAGGGTGTTGCAGTTTGAATGTTGGAGTAGGACTTTGGAGACCAGAGTTTGAATCCTGGCCCACCCATGGAACCCCATTTGGTGATCGTGGGCAGCCCACACTCTCTCAGCCTCAGAGGAAGGCAACGGGGGCACAGACCCCTGAAGAAATCTTTCCAAGAAAACCCTGGTCACCAGAACAATTTAAAGACACACAACAACAGAGGCTTCAAACAGATGACATTCCACTCTCTTGTAGAGCTTGCAAATGGAGGGATGGGCAATATAGAAAGACTCCTGGGTACCAGAAGCTAACCTTCCCCATGCAAACCTCTTTCTCCTGCCTGGAATAATCTTGAGCCACCACCACATGTTGTGGGAGGAGGGTGTGTGTGTGTGTGTGTGTGTGTGTGTGTGTGTGTGTGTGTGTGTGTGTCACACAGATGGCTGGACGACTGACCGGAAACGGCAACGGCTGAGTCACGGAGCGCCTGCCCACCTCACTGGAGCATTCAACAAACCCTGAGATTTGCATCGCACCACACACCACATCCATAAAGTTCAGAGGCAATGCCAGCTGGACACAGGCTGCAGACCCCAGGATGATTACCATTATCAACTTT